AAAAAAAAAAAAAAAAAAAAAAAAAAAAAGAAAGAGAATTGAAAAGGAATTGTCCTTTTTTCCTTGCAGTTACAGAGGAAAGCCATGAAGAGCCAGCATTCCAGAATTTTATGCAAGAATCGATGGCACAATACTGGAAAAGAAACAACAAATAGGACACCCTAGAACACTTCACTTGTTGCTAGAAGTCCAGAATTTTGGACCTCTGTGTGAAAGAACTATCCTTACCTCTGACTGGGGGCTACCATAAGGGACAATTTTCTTCAGGGTAGCAGAGTTTCTCTTATTAGAGAAATCTTGTGACTCAGATGAAGTCAGGGCGAGAAGACCCTTGGACCTGGCAGGTTAATGCTGATTATTCCTTGGCCCTTCCCCTGTATTTATGCAAGGAAGGATATACTGAGCTCATATTCTTCCAGCCCTACAACTTCAGGTTTTATCATTTGAACTCAAGTACTTTGGCTGCTGAGGAATGGAATCAAAAGAACATAGTCTCTTGGTGACCACTTCAGATCTCTTTTAGGCTGGGTATATAGCCTCTACTCGCCCCTCCCCTCCCCCCCCAGCTTCATGCCCTTGACCCTGCACCATGAGTTGCCCTCCTATTAGTAGCCAGGGAAAAGGGAAACATGAGTTTGTCCAGAACAGCGCCAGAGTATTCTTGGCAATCCACCAACGTTGGTATGAAATATGCCTCACACTGTATAGCTCATTATAGGACGCCAGGTTTGTTGAAGAAAGTGGGCAAGACATGATTGATGAATCAGAATCCTATTTCAGTGGTGACTTGGATAAAGAGTGTTTAATTTTAACTTTGTTGTAAGACTACTTGTCATGATTTCAAATTAGAAAATTATGTAATTGTGAATAGATTCACTTCTGTTCAACAGAGGCTTAAGGCCATATGTCCAAAGTTGTCTCAATAAGGAGGTGATATTTTACTAAAGTTTCCCGTGTGCCCATACTGAGTAAATACAGAGCTAGGCCCAGATTGTATTGTACTCTGAACTTAATGCAAAGTCTCCTTGGTGATTTACACAAAGGCCATGGATTTAGGTTAGAGGCACATTTCATACATAACAGCCATTATAAAGGTTTGCCTTGCCTCCACATTTTACAGTATCTTAAAACAGTACATTTCTTTCAGGGAATTCTATCTCTGTGATTCAGTACTCCAACTTATTGGTTCTCACAGTATGGACTATGAGCATCAGCATCACCTGGGGAATTGTTCAGCTTGCCTCTTAAAACCTGTGAACTCAGAAACCTTGGTGGGGGGCGGGGGGCGGCTAGCAGTCTGTTCTAGTAAGGCTTCCATGTGATTCTGGTGCATAGTAGCCTATGACATAATTCAAGACCAGGTGACTCTCAGATACTAATCCTCACATCATTTGTCTTCTCAAATTACCCTAGTCTTGCCCATCTGGTGCCTGTTCTGCAATTTAACATTCTGCAGCAATAAAAGTGTTTTATTATGAAGTATTAATTTCAATGTTCCATACTTAGTGGGAACCAGTGGTCTCAAAATTTGAAACTATTCTTTAAGAGGAGAGCATTCGCAAAGCAAAACTCAAGCATACTTGGTTTTTCTCTTTCTTACAGAATAACTTGTCTTCCCTATGCTTTAAGCTACGAAAGGGTAAGGGCTAAGTCTTAATCATCTTTGTATCCCTTGCACAGGACTTAGCAAATAACTGGTATGCAATATTTGCTGAATGAAATACATTCTCAGATGGCTACTTTCATTAATAAAGGAAAATGAAGACTGCAACAGAGGCTAGGTGTAATGGCTCATACCTGTAATCCCAGCAGTTTGGGAGGCCAAGGCAGGCATATCACTTGAGGTCAGGAGTTCAACACCAGCCTGGCCAACATGATGAAACCCCATCTCTACTAAAAATACAAAAATTAGTTGGGTGTGGTGGCACATGCCTGTAGTCCTAGCTACTCAGGAGGCTGAGGCAGGAGAATCGCTCAAACCTGGGAGGTGGAGGTTGCAGTGAGCCAAGATCATACAATCTCACTACAACCTGGGTGACAGGGCAAGCCTCCATCTCAAAAAAAAAAAAAAAAACAGAAAGCATTTAGATAAATGTGCTAAGGAGTTACAGTTAGCAAAAGTATAAATTATATGCTAAACTATAACCATTTTATTTCTGTCATATTCATTCTCAATACCTGGGACATTTAAGGCATTCAGTAATGAACTTACTAAAGCTATGCTTTATTTTGGTCTATATTAAAGGATTGGTCTAAATTTTACAAGATGTATTCTGCATCAGAAAACCAAACTTGAGGCTGGGTGCAGCAGCTCACTCCTGTAATCCCAGCACTTTGGGAGGCTGAGGTGGGCGGATCACCAGGTCAGGAGATTGAGACCATCCTGGCCAGCATGGTGAAACCCTGTCTCTACTAAAAATACAAAAATTAGCTGGGCTTGGTGGTGTGTGCCTATAATCCCAGCTACTCGGGAGGCTGAGGCAGGAGGATCCCTTGAACCCAGGAGGTGGAGGTTGCAGTGAGCTGAGATTGCGCCACTGCATTCCAGCCTGGCAAGAGCGAGATTCCATCTCAAAAAAAAAAAAAAAGAAAAGAAAAAAAAAGAAAACCAAACTTGAGCAGTTTAAAATGGCATCCACCGCCAAGGCATGAAGCAACATATTTGCTAATAATTCATAGTCACTACAGTGCTACATCATTTACTTAATAAATACTGATTCAGTACTTTATACAGATAGTCTGATGGATGAGTAACAACAGTAATGTTCAGGACGTGATGTAAAGTTGAAAGGTACATATTGTTATGCTTTAAAGGCTGCCCTTACAGTAGCAGAAGCAAAGTATGCTTAATGGACTGCTATCCTCTGATGACCAAGCAAATGCAACAAATGAAACATGCACAAGGCTGTCCTTGGACAGTACTTGTTTGCTTTTTTCACAAAGGGGAAAAAGAAACAACTGAAAAGATGTGTAGTGAAAGTATGTGAGTCTGAGCAGAAATAACAAAGGCAAAAAGGATGAGGATAGATGGAGTAAGTCTGGAAAAGAAGAAAATATGTGGATGATAGGAGAGGGCTATCTGAATAAATAAGCAGAAAGGCTGTCACCATACACCTCTGATCTTATAAATAAGACACTTCCAAAGCAGCAAAACCAGTTTTTAAAAGCTGACTAATAGATAAGGTGTGTTGTGTTTAGCCATTTCTTGTTAGGTATTAGTAATGGATTCCCAATGACTTGAGCCAAAAATGAATCAAGTTAAATGAAAACTGACATCTGATATGAGCATATATTATGAGTCTATTCAAGCACAGTTTTGAAGTTAGCAAACATTTAAATCCTCACATCTCTACAATGTAGGTCAAAGAAGTATGATTCTTCTGTCATATGAGAGAAATGGCTATAGAGAGGTAACATGTCTAGTCATAGTTAAGACAACAGTAGGGGACAGTGCTTTGGTCTCCTGATTGCCATGCCAGCATCATAATTCATCTGTGAAGGGTGGCTTGGTTGTGGGAAACTATAAAAACTAGATGCAAAAGTAAAATGCAACCTTGTTTGGTGACGTCCAGTTCCTCTGGAATTAGGAAAAACCACTTATGTTTAAGAACAGGAGTCAAATCAATTTTTATGGAAACAGATACACAAAAACCTTTTCTGTTGGGTCTAGTAGGTCTAGACAAAAAATCTCCCTCTTTTCCTTTTATATTTTCCTCATCCTCTTCTTGTAGCGCTGGTTGAAAACTGGGGAAGACCCCATGAGGCTATCAGTGGAGTGGGAACCATAGCTGCTATCTGAGTCATCAGGGCTCTGAGGAATCCCAGCTTCACTCATGCCTGACATGGGCTCCTCGAAGACATCACTGCCCAGCACACCATGCCCAGAGACATTGCCTTCTTCACTCTCTTGAGGCTCCATTTTCACATGGGCCAGATTCCAAAGAGGAGAAGCATTTACCTCTGCACCTAGAAACAGGAAAAACAGACATATACCTCGTGGTAAGCCAAGTGTAGAACAAAGTAGAGTAAATATATCACTCAGGACTCACTAAGATTCTTTGAGCTCAGTTTTTACTCTGATTCTGTACTTGGTTGGAGAATATGGTTGTTATTCTCTGCTCCAAAAAGTTAACCATCACCAAAAAATTACCAACTCTGATTATCTTCTTTTCCATTTCTTTTACTTTTCTCGCTACCTCACCTACCTCCATTTTCTCTAAGCCAGGGAAATGAAACTAGGCAGGTAGAAAGATCCCCTGTTTCACAGCCCAAACAGGCACAACCACAGGCCTTGTTCAGTTGTTTAGCTTGTCTGTCCTTCCTTCCTTCTTTTATGTGGCCATCTTGTTTTCCTGCCTTTTGTTTGGGTCTCTGGTCATCTCTCTCACACATTATGAAAAGTTAATGGTCACAACATAATGCTAACAGCAGTTCTCTACCTAGTCTCCTTTGAAGAGACATGGTCCCTAAGTCCATAACAGTTTCTCTTTGGCCCTCCCACCTCTCTATGTATTCTAGCAATGCTGCTGTTATAGTTATTCTTCCATAGTGAAAGACTCTCTGCCAACACTTTTCAAAGTATGACCTAATTCCATTTAGACCACATTTGAGAATTTGCTACTTGAGTCATTTGTGCATTGATGAAATGACAATTTATATTTGTAAACAACTGAGTGTCCAGACTAATTTGCAACCTAACTGACAGGTAACCAGTCAGTTGTCCTGGTTCTGAAGGTTTCCACAGAGTCTGGAAAAGAAGACAGCTACCTCTAACTGGGAAGCCCTATATCAATGTCTTTCATCTTTAATTTGTTAGAGTACTGTAGCAAGGAAGCCCAACTCAGAACATCCTTGTGCAATTAATACTCCTCCATCTATCTGGCAGCTGTCTTATTCAATTAAGTATAAGCATCCAGAAGGACCAATACAGAATACTAAAAAAAATACTAAAGGAGGAAGGGGTTATCTTCCAAACCAGCTGGATCACCTGAATCTGCCCTGGTAATCAACGGGACAACACAATATTGCATCTACTACTTAACTAGGGATTATTTTAAAGAATGCCTGTAAAGCTGTGCTCATTCTCTCTTCACTAATTAGAGAAAAATGCTGGGATCCCCAGATAGGTGAAACGGTATTCGTTTTAGGACTTTTCATTCTGCCCACTGCTGCTTTTGTTCTTCTACCTCTTGAGCTTGATTCCAAAAAGCAAGAAGTACTGAAATTGGCAGATCTCCCAGAATCAAAGTGAGTATATTTATTTGTCTTACTTGAAGCCTGTGGTGAAGCTTCAACCTCCAGGTTGGATGGGAAGCGTTCACTCTGAGCCCCAAGCACTCCCATGGGCAGTGACTGGTCTCCAGAAGTAAGGTCAGCCTCCAGTTCCTCACTGACAGGAAAGGTGATGTCGCTCACAGGTTCCTCCTTGATCTTCACAGGTTTAGTGTCCTCTGTGGCCTTCTCAGGATTAACAATCCTTTCATATTCTTCAGAGAGTTGCTTACTAATCTGTTGGCAAGCAAGAGTCAATTTTCCAAGGAAATGTTAAAAGCAAGTTGTATAGTCAGCTTGTGACATTGGGAAAGCCAACAGAATATGAATAACAGAATTTTTAAACATTCACTGCCAATGGAAGGGATTTGTTTAAGGTATTGAGTTTGCATTTATGAGTGATAGAGATACGTAAAGAAAATTGGTTTGGCGACTAATGTCTCTGTCATTAATTAAAAGTTACATAAAGGTAAAAAAATGTGTTAAAGATAAAACAGAACTGTGACAAAAGATTACATTTTTGGCTATAAAAAACAGTAGTAGGCTGGCCATGGTCATTCACACCTGTCATCCTGGCACTTTGGGAGGCCAAGGTGAAAGGACCACTTGAGCCTAGGAGTCTGAGACCAGCTTGGGCAACATCTAGTAAGATCCCATCTCTACCAAAAAAATAAATAAATAAATAAATAGCTGGGCATGGTGGTTCACACCTGTGGTCTCAGCTACTCAGGAGGCTGAGGTGGAAGGATCACTTGTACCTAGCAGATAAAGACTGTAGTAAGCTGTGATTGTACCACTGCACTCCAGCCACTCCAGCCCAGGTGACCCTGTCTAAACGTCTCAAAACAAAAACAAAAATAAAAACAAAAACAGGTGAAAGAAATTTTAATATCATTTTATTTAACCCAATATGTCCCAGATGTCTAAAAAAAAAAAAAAAAGAAAGGTTGACATATGTATCCCAGGTGAATGAATAATCAATGGTGTGGGAAATCTGGATCACTTAGCAAAGACTTTTTTTTCTTGGGTGTCAATTCCTAATCATATTTTAGACTTGCAGAAATGGAAACAGTGAACAAATGACTTAGGAGCACAGGGTTGAAGTGATTAGATATTTCTGGTTCTAATCAAAATCATCACCTCCCGTAACCCATCCTCCAGGCATTATCATTTTACTCTGGTTTTTTCTTAGCACTTAACATTACCCC